CTAATGCGCTTATCCGCGCTAATCCATCCACGAGTGATGTGGATTAGGAGTCCTAGAATCTTGGGAGTAAACCTGAGCACAATGTAGGGCTCTTTTTGCATCAAAAATGGCGCAAGTTTAAAGCCCGAGTATTGGGAGACGGAAATGTGGTATTACCTTATCCTATCCCGTAGAGTCCTAACGACGAAGCGTCTATCTCCTGTTTCCAATAGGTAAAGTCTTTAAAGGGAAACGTTTCTTTTCTTAAGAGGAAAAAATAAAACTAACGAGTCAATACTGGGAAAAATATTCTATATGTCGCAACATTAAATTTTTGAGCGGATCTCTCATATTTAAACAAGCAAAGTTGAGTAGTACAATTTGTATAAAATACTAACCTAATGATACTAGGAGGAGGAGGGGAAAAGGATGAGAAAAAGACAGGAAAGAAAAAGGGGGAGAAGGGAGAATAAGAATAAGAAGATGGGAAACAAAGTGTCAAGTGTAATGTTGACCGACATTAAACTGTTTGTACTGAGTCTAGCTGAGGTCTGGGGCATCATTTAAACACATTCAAGGGAGGGGGGGGGGGGTGACTCACCAAAACATACATCTATAAGGTAATAACCAGTATTGTCAAAGCTCGAATATGAAGACCTCTAACCCCAGTTTCAACTTTGTACGAGCAACTTTAGACACATTTTAATGTGGATACCTTTCCATTTTACTCGTGTAATAAAGTGGCTTTGGATATATTGGTAATATTCGTGTTATTACACTTTAAAGCCCATCTGTACTAGTGAACAAGACGGATTAGACCACCCTGCAAGGTCACTGGACAGGTGGCTATCTCATCAAATCAGCTCTCAATTAACATAAGAAAAAGAGGATCATGGGGGCCAATGGTTACCGATTAGGGATTGTTTGTTATATAGAGGGAGCAAGTAGCTACATATAGTACAGTGGGCCTTTAACATTGCTACACTGTGAACCGGGTCTATTACTGTTCCTCCTACATCCTTATTCCCTGTTTCGTACAATGTCCTTTGCTATAATGAATACATTAAATACGTAACGATTACATTACTGATCATTATTATCGGAATAAAAGTATGTCCAATTTATATGATGTATGTCCATAATTATGATTCATAATAATTTCGTAATAATTTCGTGACTGCAATGATCTATTGTTTTACCATGGATTCAGGTGAGCAATAATACATATCTCATGTGTGAATCTGTCAGTCATCTCTTGGAATAACAGATCGAAAGTAGGTTTCACAGGAAAGTCTTATCCTTTCAAGGCATCTCTTGTCTCTCACATTATTCAAATGATTTTCCTTTTCAATTATTTAATTCGACAAAGGCCATGATAGATTAATCTTCCAAGAGTTTGGCTGTCGTATGTTTAATGTTTAGAAACGATCTCAGTAGGATTGCGACATACTAATGTAAACCAGGAGGGGCTTGCAGGCATGTTTTTTCTAGGATGCTATTATTCTGAATTCCAAAGAGAATCAACGACAATAAGACTTCGTCATCGTCTTCGAGGTTTTAACCGGAAGTGTTTTGTTTCCTGCACTTTTCTTGCCATACATCATTGGCAGCGAAGAGGATTTCATCAAATTAAATTCTTACGCCATGTTCAAGTTCATGTTGAGAATGCTGCGCGAGGGGACTTCGTATGGATTGCGAAACATTAGGAGGGCACATTTTCGCTTTATTACATGAAATATTTCAACCATGTCTGATAAAACGGTGGTAATAACGAGACCAGAACAGGTCTTGCGTATTATCACCTTCATAGGATGTCAAGCGTGAACTAATAACGTGTTATATTCATGTCGAAATCATTCTTGCGTGTTTAAACGGGACCTACCTAGTCCCACCCTTTGTCGTCATATTTATGATATGACTTCATTGGAACGAAGAAAGTTACCGACGGTAGTGTATGGCCCGACTTTGTTTCACATGAACATCCAACCATGGACCTATCCTCCGATTAATATTTTGGCGGCAAAAAGGCCCCCAAAGAACCACCCCCACCTAAATAGCAGCAGTATAGCAGCACTGAAAATCGCAAGGTTGTCATGTGTATTACATGGCCTTGGTGTGTGCTTTTTTTCTTCTGTTAAAGAATGTTAATTAAGTACCAGCAATTTCAATATTATCCTTTATCCAATCTCTATATCTGTATGTTCAGCATGTAGTTATGCATCTTGGTTTTTTGCTTGATAACAATTCATTGAAATAGTTTTTGCAAAGTCATGTTTTAAGGGTAGTAACGCCGATTGGCACATATTATAGCTCTACCAGTGCAAAGTTCCTTCACCCGGAAGTTAAACGGTCCTTAAGTTTGCTATGCCGAACATCCCGAATTTTACCAAATAAGCACATGTTTATCATTATGCAGGACCAACTATCATGTTGTCACAATATTTCAGAGTTCAAGAATAGATTTGTGAACATCTTGTCCATGTTGTGATATATTTAGTTAGGGCCTACTTGAAGTGATGCAAACAACTGAATTAAATAAAATCACTTCTTTATAATCTCCGACTACGATGTCTATTTCAATTACTCTGAACATCACAATCTATATTGTCCCATGAACTATCTGCTCAACCAAACTCAAGCTCAAGTACAGACGGAAAGGGGTCGATAAAAGAACAAATCACCCCCAAACCGCAAAAACGGAAATATTGGATGCACAGACCTTGTGGGCTGCTGCACATGTTACCACTCCTTTGTTTCGGGAAATACAAGCGATTAAAATATAGAGCGGCTGGTATAAATGGAAACAAATTCAAAAGTACAACGGATATTTCTCACCTCGGAATAGTTTGCCAGTCTCCGTTTTTTAATATTTCTTTTAAAAACAGTGATCATTTGAACAGATGAATTATCTACATTTGGCCTGACCTATCTTAAATGTCTGGAAACGCTATGTCAGAGCACTTACCGACACTGAAAACAATCATTGATTCGATAAGACAAAGAACGATATCTTACAAATTGATGTACATTTTCAATTAATAGACCTTTGGTATGAGCTTTTAGGATAATATCAAATAAAAATGTGATATATCAAGTCCCCTCTTAGAAATGGCTCTGATGTAGCAGGCAAACATGTAGTATTGCATTTGATAAATTTCAAAGATGGTCAGTGAATAAAATGAATTTAATTGATAGGATAATGAAGGGTATATTCCTAATTACATTACTTTTCATCTATGTATTATAATTGAATATGCTACTCTAATTGATTTGTCATAAGTATTTGCTATTTGTATTAACTTTGCTCGCAATGAATTCTCTTAGCTACATGTCTTTAGTTTAAGGTCTTTATATTTCGTTCTTAATTTGTAACTATTTAAATATACTTGTACTTGATTTTTTTTTACTTTGTAAAGCGCATAGAGAAACTTCGGTTTATTATGCGCTCAATAAATCTATCTTTATTATTATTATAATAATCCTGTTGTTTGATGAGAACAAGCCATTGGATCACTAATGTTACAACAAGATTGACTCCTATTAATTATATGCCCGTCCGTTTCAAGTTTCAAGTTGATTTCTTCCACATTTTACCAAAAATATAGACAGACATATAAAATAAAAATTATGTTTATATTTTTTTAATTCAAATGATTTTATTTCTCATGCAAAACATAATACAAAAATAATAATATCACAACACATATGCAATGAAACGAATAAATATAGTGGAAATAGCACGAGAAAAGAGGAACTAACTAATATACATGTAGTATGAGCACGTCTCAATGAAACTCAATTCATATGATAGATTAAGTAATGTGAGGAATCAATGGAAAAACAATGTTTATTTATTATTGGTTCCTGATGAATAGACATTGTAGATGAAAAACCGTAGCAGTAGAGAAAGACGTAACTTAGAGGGGGGGGGGGGGGGGGGGGGTGAAATTTAAACAATTTGTCTACGGTAGTGACAGAACTGTGCTTTGAATTCCAGGTAACCATCTACCCAACTTTGTAGTAATCATTAGAGACATTAATCTAATTAGATTTTATTGACTCTATCGACCCCCTTTCGGGGTATGGGAGTACAAACATATTTACAACATAGTATCAATATAACATAGTTCAACATATGGAGAAAATCAATATTCACACGTCTACGTTTACACGATATAGACCATGGGTAGACGGTGAGACGATTCATCACAATGTGACACATCACGTTGAAGATAAAACAATGCCGCAGTGAAGTTCATCCAGAATTCCTGGGGGAGGGGTTGAAAAATTCAGTAAAATCTGCGACATACGGATAAAACAAAAAAACAAGTGCCTTTTGGGGATCTAAGGTTGCTGCCGGGGGGGGGGGGGCACAAATAAGGGCCTACGTTGTTGTACTAGGGTATACCAGATACGAATATGCCAGGGGTTATAATTATATGCACACCCCCTGTCCCTGAGTCAGCCATGAAAAGTTAACAAGTCATGTGGTCAATTCATCATCGGTTATCTTCCAATATAGATTTGTACCGCAGATTGATAAAAAACGCAAACTGGTATTAACAAAAAAACAAACAAACAATTGCGACTGAAATCCTGTCAATCGTCAGATCATCATGAACAAGCCGCACCGCGAAAGCCTCATTTGTCGGCCTTTAGGTAAACCTTGAGCCACCGTCGAGCCATCGGTAAGAGGAAGTTGTATTAAATCAGGGATTAAAACAAAAATCGTCTGTAATAATATATAAAGTTATCACTCTTTCGGGAAAATTCTTGATCATAAATGAAATGGCCATAGTTACTATGTCGATAACAACAGACCATTTATTAGGGATTTAATATGTAACAATTTAAAAAGAAAAAGTTGAGCGTATTGCACTGTTTCTCTTTAGCTCTCTATATTTCGTTTTCCTGAAAACATGTTTGTTTTAACGGGAAAATTGTTCAATAATTATTATCAAAGAGTTAGGTCTCATGATTTCAGTTCACCATGTCCAATCCTCTCGTTTCTCCTCTCACAGAGTCTCTCAATGGTAGCAGGGGTGACCATGATTCAGTTGTCACTCTTGAGCTACCATAATCCCACTAGCCAACTGAGTGGAGGGGACTGCTGCGATGCCGGTGGATCGGAGGTATGCAGAGACAAGTGTGATAACAGGTTCGAGATCTGCGTCTCTCGTCCGGGGAGGTAAGAATGATCATAGCGTATTGATGGGAGATGGTTGTGACAATTAAGCGCAAGGATGTGCTCCTCGCAGAGGTCCATTGGCATGGATCTTCATATTTTCTCCCCCATACAATCTTTTTGATGTCTCAGTCACACCACTAAACTAGTCAAGTCAAGTCAAGTTTATTTGTTTCACATTTCACAAAAACAAGAATTTACATAATTGACAAAATTAGAACATAATATGAAATATACTAAAAGTGTCACTTTATATAATTAATTCTTTCAAAAGACGTCGAAATTAATTGTAATGAAAGAAGGTTATACAGAGTAAAATGTGAGGAACCTATTAAAAAGCTCAGCTTGTAGATTATAGGTTCTCATAAATAAAACTAACATTTGGTTGAAGTGGTTGTAATGGAGAAGACGTAACGGTAATAATAGGTGGGCAAGAAGGCCTTGACATAAGATGTTATACAACGTGAAACAAGCAAAAATAGCAAAAATAGCAAATACAGCAAGCAAATTAATATATTACCAAAGAAATGAGACGATAATCACTTTAAAATATTGAGGTCAAGGGCACCCGACCAGGGTTGGGCCATTGTGGATGATGTAAATATTCGTTCGGTCTGTAGTCGGTCTGATTTCAGTCTCATTTGTGTGGCTGAGGAAAAATTTGGAAATATTTCGATGCTCCAGGAATTTTAAATATGAACTGGTGTAACTTCCAATGACCTAACTATGTCTCTACTCAGTACTAGCCTATGAGGAAGAAAACAAAATCACATTGTCCTAAATAATGTAATATTTGAATAATCGAAGGCGAATCGTGGGGATGGGGAAGGTCACCCTAAACCCTAATCGTGGAGAATTGGAGACGGCAGGGGAAGAGAAAATTGTGTTTTAAAGGGGGGGGGGTGCGCGTTTCGTAAGCAAGACCACTCCTTTATTATGGTGTATAATAAAGCATAGGTTTTAATGCAATCGAAATGTCGCCTTGCGTCATTTGCTATTACTTACAAATCTCATATGTGTTTGTGTTTTCATCTTTATCTATTACAGTGACGTCGACATGACATTGTGCTCTTTCTTCTCGGCGAATACGACGAAGATAGTGGACAACTCGGATGAAATCACGTTTCCTACTTCCTTACTGATGCAAGATGGCAGCAGTCTTCCGAATCCATTGACTATCTCCATACCTGATGCATGGGTAGGTCATAATATATCGCTGTATCTCAGTCATTCCGATGAAGCTTACGCCTGACCGACAACAGACCGATAGCAGACCGACAACAGACCGACAACAGACCGATAACCGGACCGACAACAGAAAAAAAAAGACTCTATCAAGAATGGCCAACCTTTGTGGATGTGCGACACATGCTCCAGCAATTATTGTTGCGCGGTCAATTTCCTAATCACTGAATGTTTAGCTTCAACACTGGACTAAACACTATACCTTACACTAACCCTAAACGTAAAGCCTCAAACCCGATTGGAACCCTAACCGTAACCATATACCTTTTAAACGTAATTGTTCGCCCAAGTAAAATGATGACGGATCACATGTTTTGTCGACCATCGGTTTACTGGACTTGTGAGTGATGTTAAAGGATCGAATGTACAACCATGAATAATCATGTCTATTGTATTGTTTCTGAATGGATACAACGAAGTAGCTTGTTTTCCTTTATTGTAATAACACGAGTGTTCATTAAATTACATTGCAATGAAGGGAAAAAAAGATGACACCTGCTAACTCAAAAAACATTAACCTTAAACATAGTGCAATTCATTTTACTTGGACACAAATATTATAAACTTTATTCAGTTTCCTCGTTAGACAAGGAATTCATTAATCCCATCCTCTATGCCATTCAAAAGAGTTGGCAAGCGATTAAGGGCGCTAACGGGGAGAGGAGAACCTTACGAAAGGACAATGACATAGACCCAGCATGTAACGCTGCGTCTTTCAGACCTGATGTGCTGTTGTTAGTGAGAAACCTTTAGGTCCGCAGGGTACGCAGCACCTCGCTAGCTTCTGATTTTAAACAGAATTAGGACGGGGGATTAAAAATATATCATATGCAACATGAGTCACATTTTTTTTATACAGAGAGAGAACGGAAAGAGCTAGTAATTGAGGAGCTTTTGTAATGAAGTACACAAAAAGCCATGTGAACCCTACCTTCATAAATATACTGGTAGTAATTTTCCTCAAATGACATCGTCACGTGAACAAATTTGTTGTTGCCAATTTCCTTTGTCAAAATATGATCTATTGGAAGCAATGAAAGTAAATACCTCATGTTATCTTATTTTTGAAATTCTAAACTTCTATTCAAAATTGTAATGTTTTTTTCATGTCGATATTTTGCATTATTTTTGAAAGAAATCGATGCTGCGAAATCGTCCCAAGAGACGCTATGCTCAAGTATGCCCCGATACAGCCTCATTTTCCATGTGCATATGCCATCAAATTGTAAACTGAGCTCATGTCTTGCCAGCCCAATGCCTACAGCTTAATGATCACGTGATGTCTACTCTGTGAACGTCATTTTATTATTATTACAAAGACAGACAGTAATCTTGGGTAGAAGTGTACATTTTGCAAGACACTAAAGCAATCTCGTTAATGATATGCACGTTGAATTATAGAATTTGTGTTCCGTGGTCTTATCACAAATTGCATCTCCTGGATTAGTTAATTCGATTGTGTAAGTGTGCTCAAAACGCCAGGCGTAATGATGTAGAATATACGAAATATATAACAAAGATGCGACGAACGTTTACGAGGTGTATTACATTCAAATAAATTTCACGAAGGCGAAAGTGCAAAACATCTCATTTGAGGGCGATCTTGAAAAAAATACTTTCATCTGACTTTCAAATACACTTTACAGTCGTAGATGGGATGGACCGTTGACCGCATTGACCATTTTCAATGCCTCTGTTTCTTCTCGTGCAGAAATTTGATTAAGCAGCTGGACCTTTTTTAAATTACAGAAAAAGAAAAAGAAAATTCGCAATCTCCAACAGTTTTTTGTTGTGTTTGTGTAAGGTAGATTTAAATGCAGCTTGTCCTGTGTACTTCGTAAGTTATGTGCATATGGGTGCCTTATATCACAAAATAATTTGTATATTAATATGACAATGTTGTATGTGTGTTTATCTCAGGAAGGCGTTCGATTCAAGGTGCGCGTCTGGGACGTCGACGTAGTGGGTGAGCAAGAAGTGGATATTTTGACGAAAAATATCAATTATTACCCAGACCCCAACCTTGCGTACACTGTCCAATGGAAACCCACGCTGTCTGGAATAGAAGATGCAAGGTAAGGTGTCCTCCTTTCGAATTACTCCTCCCTTCTTTCTTCATTTTGTGTTGCTCTCTGATAAAAAATGGAACAAAAGGGATGATTATTACCATCAACTTATGCGAGCAATGAATCCACAAACGGCTGATGTGAAATGAATGAATAGGAATTATAAAGAAAAATGTAAAAAGAATAATTTTGATGAAAGCTTTCTATAAAATAAAATAAAATCCCGCACGTGATAGTTTAAACCATGCAGTATTATGACCCATTAATATATTTGATTTGTAGTCGAGTGGTTTGAACACTCGATTGTAGATGGGAAGGTTGTGGGTTCGGGCCCCGACATCGCACAGCTTTATGGGTTGCTTTTATCCATATTCCATGCAGAATCAACAAAGCACGATACATTTAACAATATGGCTTTTGGCAACACATTTATCTTTTTAATAAATACAATGCCGTCCCAGATGTCCGGGTTTAATTCCAACTTTTAACCGTAATGCTATGTTTTTCAACAGGTTGAAGACAGGAATGAGAGTATACTGTGGAGATGGGTACTTTGGCCCTCGGTGTCATATCTACTGTGTGGATAGTGCTACATACACCTGTGAACCATTCACGGGTAAGAAGCTTTGTGTACCAGGTTACGGCGGCAAAGAGTGTGACGAGGTGAGAAAATAATCATTGGTATCATTAGGAATCGAAATTTACATGTATAGCCTATGTTTCAATATCAGACATAGCAACAATTTGATGAACATTTGAATCTGCTTTTAATCAGGGATTTACATGACGTTTGTAATTGTACATGTATCTATCAGGAAACGTCAATCATATGGTATATGAATATTTTGTTTTAAAAACATTGGTATGATAGGTATAACAACGAATATGAAAAATTTGGAAAATCCATGGAAACAATGATTACAGAAACATTATATTTCAAACTTAAGTATTTGTTTCTTGTTAATTAATCGAAGTGGTAATCTAGTTTATTGTAATGATCTCCCTCTTTATCTCTCTCTCTCTCTCTCTTGCTATTTCTTTCGCTGCATATCTTCTATAGGACATAGCTGAATGTGCATCATCCCCGTGCCAACAAGGAGGTGCATGCATCGACCTGGTGAACAGTTACCGTTGCGAATGTATTCCAGGGACCTTTGGTAAGTGGTATCTTGCTTTTTTAATATTTTATTTAATAATAATAATAATAATAATAATAGATTTATATAGCGCAGAACCACCTGAAGGGAACTAAAATCATTAACAAATTATTAACACGATGTGAGAAAGGGCAATTTAAGAATGATGATAGCAGTATTACTGCCTTTACCTCCGATACAGGTAAACTAAAACGATCGAATCCTCCTCATATCACGCAAGGAAAGAATTTCAAGACATTAACTCACGGGGCAATATCAATACCCATAATATTGCCTAATTTTAGGACGGAAATAATGTTCGGATTACATCAGGTACTTCAAAATTAAATTGTCCCTGATTACCTGACATGCATGATCACGTCATTGTAATGTTCCCACATTTCAAAACATAATGGAAAGGACTATTGGAGTTGTAAGGAGTAGTTGATGTATTTTGCTTTGCCATTTCACTCATTTCTTGTTTCCCATGATTCAATTTCAGGTACTCTGTGTGAAAACAACCATAACGAATGTACCAGTGTAACATGTGAGAACGGTGGCACTTGCCAAGATCAACTCAATGATTTTGAGTGCACCTGTACAGAGAATTTCCAAGGTCGTTTCTGCGAGGTCCTTATAGACGAATGCATCGGTGATCCTTGTCTAAATGGTGCTACTTGCGAGGATGGTATTCGTGATTACAGTTGCATTTGTGCTGCGGGTTATCAAGGAAGAGACTGTGAGATTGATATCGATGAATGCACGAGCTCTCCATGTTTAAACGGGGGAACATGTGAAGACAAGGTTGCAGGTTTTGAGTGTAAATGTGTTCCAGGCTTTGTGGGAGACCTGTGTCAGGTAAACGTGGACGAATGTGATAGCATGCCTTGCAAGAATGGTGGTTCCTGCAACGATCTCATAAATTCCTTTGAGTGTGCCTGTGCTGCTGGTTATGAGAACATCTTCTGTGAGGATAACATTGATGAATGCCTCTCGTCACCGTGTCAAAATGATTCCCCATGCATTGATGGTATAGCAAGCTACACCTGTGAGTGTAACCCTGGATTTCAAGGAGTCCACTGTGAAATCAATATTGATGAATGTGCCAGTAGTCCGTGCACGCACCAAGGTACCTGTCAGGACATGGTGAATTCCTTTGGATGCATCTGTCAACCAGGGTTCAACGGCACCCTCTGCGAGAACAACATCGATGAATGCCTTGGAAATCCTTGTCAAAATGGCGGCACTTGTGGGGATTTGATAAATGATTTTGTTTGTGACTGTGTAGAAGGTTTCGAAGGAGCATTGTGCCTTACAAACACTGACGAATGTCTCAGTGCCCCATGTCAAAACGCAGGATCATGTTTCGATGAGGTGAACGGCTTTTCATGTATGTGTGCGGCAGGGTTCAGTGGCACATTTTGTGAGATAAACATTGCGGAGTGTGTTAGTCAGCCCTGTTTAAACAGTGGCGTATGTGACGACGGCATAAACCAATTTACTTGTCATTGTCCAGATGGTTTTCACGGTTTGCTCTGTGAGAGCAACACGGACGACTGCGCCATCAATCCCTGTATCAATAATTCAACATGTGTTGACAAGATCGATGCCTTTGTATGCGTCTGTACGGAAGGATTCGAGGGTATGTACTGTGAGGTTAACACTAACGAATGTCAAAGTAACCCTTGTAGTAACGGAGCATCCTGCTTGGACGACATCAATGGATACAGTTGCCAGTGCGCAGAAGGATTCGATGGGATTCACTGTACAAATAACATCGACGAGTGCTCCAGTAATCCCTGCGAAAACAGTGGCACGTGCCTTGACCAAGTTAATGGCTTCATGTGCACTTGTCCTAGTGGATTTGACGGGCTAACATGTGGGAATAACATCGATGAATGCACAAGCCAACCTTGTCAAAATGGCGGCACCTGCACCGATGGCATCAACAACTATACATGTGAATGTACTCCAGGTTTCAATGGAATTGAGTGTCAATTTAATATTGACGAATGTCAAAGTTCGCCATGCCAACATGAATCCACCTGTGTGGACGCGTTTAATAGATTTCATTGTCAATGCAAAGCGGGTTTCCAGGGAGCCATGTGTGAAGTTAACATTGATGAATGCACAAGTCATCCTTGTTTAAACAACGGAACCTGTCATGACGAAATCAACAGCTACACATGCGAATGTATCCCTGGTTTCATTGGTGTTCACTGTGAAACCGATGTAGACGAATGCAGCAGTTTGCCCTGCCAGAATAGTGCTACTTGCGTCGACAAGGTCAATGGATTCATGTGCCAGTGCAAACCCGGGTTTGAAGGAACTCTTTGCGACGTTAACACTGATGAATGTAGTAGTTCACCATGCTTCAACATGGCTACTTGTCATGATTTGACAAACGCCTACAGATGTAACTGTGCTCCTGGATATAATGGTGTTCACTGCGAACATAACATTGATGAATGCGAAAGTACACCCTGCCAACATGGCTCTACCTGTGTTGATGAGGTGAATGGCTTTAACTGTGAGTGTACTCCAGGGTTTGTAGGAACGCTCTGCGAAATTAACATCGACGAATGCGCGAGTCAGCCGTGTTTCAATAACGGTACATGCCATGATGGAATTAATAACTATACTTGTGATTGTCTTCTGGGTTTCAGTGGCAGCCGATGCAAGATTGACATCGATGATTGTGAAAGTTCTCCTTGCCAACACGGCTCGACATGCATGGACGAAATAAATGGATTCCATTGTCAATGTGCACCAGGTTATGAAGGCACATTCTGCGAAGTTGATATAAACGAATGCCTTAACAATCCATGCAAAAACGGAGGTGCATGTGTAGATTTGATCAATACTTATGAATGCAATTGCATGGATGGTTGGGAAGGAGCTCGCTGCGACAACGACGCTGATGAATGCATTAGTAACCCCTGCCAAAATGGAGGTACTTGCAGAGACCAAGTAGACGGATATCAGTGTGCTTGCGACCTCGGCTTTACAGGGTTAACGTGTGAAACCGACATCAATGAGTGTTTAGAGGACCCTTGTTTAAATAATGGTACATGTGAAGATGGTATCAATAGTTTCACATGTCATTGCACACTTGGATTCACTGGCAAAACATGTGAAGAAAACATAGACGACTGTTCACCTAACCCGTGCAGGCATGATGCAACATGTCTAGATGATGTTAATCACTATATCTGTTTATGCAGACATGGCTATGAAGGTAAGAACTGTGAAACTGACATTGACGATTGCTTGAACTCCCCCTGCCTGAACAACGCCACGTGTATTGACAAAGTGAATAATTTCGCATGCGATTGTACGGCGGGATACGAGGGTCAATTGTGCGAGCAAGATACCGATGAATGCGCTAGCATACCCTGCTCGAACGGTGGCAATTGCACTGATTTAGTTAATGGATACAAGTGCCTCTGTGATTCCGGATTTGAAGGCATGAACTGTGAAGTCAATATCGACGAATGCAGCAGTATCCCCTGTCAACACGGAGGTACATGTCAGGATCTCACCAATTCATTCCAGTGTTCTTGCCAGGAAGGTTACGACGGACCTACATGTCAGAATAACATTGACGATTGCCAGCCTAAACCATGCCAGAATGAAGGTCTCTGCATAGATGGAATCGCTTCATACCAATGCCGTTGCCTACCTGGATTCGAGGGCATCACTTGTGGAATCAACATACAAGAATGCGACTCGTCACCATGTCGTGAGAACCATACGTGTGTGGATGAGATCAACGGTTATCATTGTCTGTGTCTTCCTGGGTTCGAAGGTGTTCAGTGTGAGGTGGAGACGAATGAATGCATGTCAGTCACTTGCAGATACGGAGGGACGTGTTTGGATCATGTCAACAGCTTCACCTGTGCCTGTCCATATGGTACGACTGGAAACTTCTGCGAGACTGTTTTGGATTTCTGTATCAGCCATCCGTGTTCAAACAACGCAACGTGTTCAAGCACTGAAAATGGGACGAGGTAAAACCTAAAACTGATAAGCACACCTAATTTGTACAATAAAATATAATTGCTCCTATTTTCCAATACTAATGGCAAGCCTTCTGGATGTTCTGTTCCACATAATATTAGAATCGATTAAAATATAATAATTCAGAATCACTATACCTGTTTCACAAAACAACTGGGCATTTACTTGTTTGGCGAATTTTAGCTTTTAAATACAAGTGATGCTGTGCCATTTACTTTACATTAATGTTGATGGAATTAAAAGCCATTTTTAATTAACAGCTTATATTTCAGTTTCCATGTGTAAAATTTGATATGATATTTCAAGCTCTGTCCATTACAAACATTGTATTACAGTTGCATCTGCCCTCTAGGCTACACCGGTGTGTTCTGCGAATCCTTGGATCTTGGGCTGTGTGGCACATCCTGTGTTAATGGCCGGTGTGCAGTCTCGTTTAGTCCTGAAGGAGGAGTTATCCACACGTGCCTGTGTGACGAAGGCTTCGTAGGGACCGATTGCGATATGGGTAAGGCATGAATGTAAAGTGAAGAAATTTGGTTTTTATCAATTGATAAGTATACAAGCGGTAAACTGTTTTAGCAAAGGCTCAGTAAGGGGATTTTTATTCATTAAAGCCACACTGTCCTACTTGTAGCTACTTCCTCCCTCTATATAGAAAACAATGCCTAATAGGTGACCATTAGTCCCCCATGATCCTCTTTTTCTTATTTTATTTGAGAGCTGAGTTGATGAGATAATCACCTGTCCAGTGACCTTGCAGTGTGGTCTAATCCCTCCTATATACTAGTACAGATAAACTTTAAGTAAAAAAAACCACCGACAAAAGGCAAAGATAAATATATATCTGGTTCTATTCTCAGAGTTTATGGGATATGTACTGTTGCTCGATCAATACTATTCATTACTTTTTAAACAAAATGCTTCTTCATTCGCTTCCCAATTTTGTTTTTACTCAACAGAAGTGATGTCTATCTCTTCAAACATCCTCCTCACGAATCATCATCCTACAAACAACATGGTGGATGTAGCGACGATGCTGAGCAAAATTTTCAAGATGTCATATGGAGATAGCCTCAAAGAGCCTAAAAACATCGAAGTAGTCATCATTGCGTCTTCGAACGAAAGTTCCCAACTTTCAGGGTTCGTGTATTATTTTACGCCATCATAACATCCATATATCGATACTCCTTAAAATAAACTTGTAAAAAGGAAGGTTACCAGCTCAACGCTAAAATTGAAATACTATGTCATTCCGTAAAGCAGTGGTCACCAACCTGGGTCGTGACACCAAGTGAGGTAGACTATTGCCGGGGATGAGATGGGTAATTAATTGGCGATCCCGACGTAACCCGTCTCCATCTCGTAATGCTTTGGTGAAATTTAGCAGATGATTATGTACCTTTTGATTGACAGTGATGGTGAATCGATGCATGTAACTCCGAAAATGCTGTAATATGAGGTGTATTTTTTACATTACATGTCCAACGTTTAAACTAAAGAAGTTTATTCAAATGTACAAATGTAAATTATAAATCCAGCAAACTATTTTTGTTTCAATGTTATTTCATGATTCTAGGAGCCCATACACAAACACAACATTCTATACGATGGTGAACAACAAACCACTTACTCAAGACGAGCTGGAGAGACTCTTGAATTCGATGCCAAACGAGGAGAAGGACGTTATCATGACTCCATACGAAGTATTTGAAGATACCCCGAGAGTGCCAGAAGAGAGCGGAAAGAAGGTAATATACATTGGATCAATATATATGATTCTTTACATACTTTTTGTAGGTAAGGATTGGTTTGTTTGAAAAGGAGTTGGTGTCTGTGATTATGTTACTATCCACTACAAAATACCTTGGTGCAATCTAAAATGACGAATTATCTTTTGAGTAATTCCTATCCACTCTTTCTAAAAAAATCCCATTTTTAGACATTTTTTATAATTACCATTAATGGCGGGATAGTTTGTAAAACCAATCATAAGAGATTATATTTATCAACCGAATAAAAAATGACGAGAGTAATATTTTTGATACTTGATGTAAACAAAAAAGTAGAATACATTGCACTGTGTTTATTGACTAATATCTCATTGCGTAATTTTATGAGAGACTAACACTCGTATTTGTAATTATTTTGCTTTCCTTTTCAGGCTGGATGGGGTTGGAGTAACTGGTTGATACTAGTCACCCTAGTCTCCATCATCATATTCCTACTGATCGTCATCGGATGTGTAATATCCAGATAGTACACAATTCCTTTGCGTTTTTTTTTTTTTATATTTGCCGTTCGACAGTTTTTATATAACTAATTGGAGAGATCTTCCCTTTATAATGCTTTCGCCTTTTAATAATATTTAACATTTGTCATCATAATTTCTGTCTGTGTCCTGTCTTGCTCTTGATATAGCCTTGGCCGCTTCATCGTTGGTATATCTTCTTATTGCTACCGTTAGTCACGGTACTGTTTATCATCATCATCATCGCTATTATAATCAGGTAGAGAGGCAATGCTGCATGATGCATTATCGTAACGACGCATCTTTAAAAAAAGAGTTTGCATTTTGATTTTTGATGATTTTGAGAACGAAAATGTATATTTTTCGTTTTGATAAGTTAATGATATAAAAGACACTTATAGTTTGAATGCATTTAATCGACAGCATGGAAAGAAAACAGATGGGAGACAAAATGTTTTCAATTGCAATCGAGGAAGAAGAAGAAATGAGAAATCAGCCATGCAGTTGTATTTAAAGGTGACTGAATACTGAAAAGAAAATGGCGAATGATAAAGTACACACAGAAAGAGAGAAATGTATAGTAAAATATTCATGTCGAGTAGAAGGATTTCGAAGATAGGTTAAATGATAGTTAAAGGTTCAAACACTTGCACTATGCCTGCTACTTTCCATTTGCATTAATATGTATCAAAAGTGCATGCAGAAATACTGTTGAAATGTTCAAAAGAATAAATCATTCCAAAAAAGAAATCAAAATAAACTAACGATCAACATTCCCTATCATATGCTTCATAATTGATATGGAGTATTGTATGGTGTCAGTAGTACTGTCAACATTGGGCTTCAGCCTTGCATGGTAATAACCAAACCTTTGCCTTTAGCATGTCTATAAGCTATTAGGTAGTTCCTATTCACTCCGATTTAATCTCTGGTATTAGGTGTTTGTTCTCAAACTTCCTATATAAATCTGGTAAAGCATATAAGTTTGTTTCTTGCATGTTTATTTTTTTTATTTTGGTTTAATGGGTTCGTAAGTAGTTCGCATCATGTCTTACTTCCCCTGCACGACTTTCATTATGAAATGAAAAAATATATAGAAGGTAGTCCAATTTCGTTTCTCATCCTCTCCCTATATTTCAGCAAATTAAAGAAAGAACCTGTCCAGTAGTAGGTTTTAAGCAGTGAGTGATTCTCAAGAAAAGATTGGACAGGTTTAGCAGAGAAGTCTGGATATTGCACTCTCTTCGTTCTTCAGTCATCGTGCTTTGTTTAAGTCATTATACCAAATGCAATGAATTAAGTGCAGCCTTTTATATGATAAAAGACCTGGTGCAAATTATATCGAGATGTATAATTTACATTAATTAGTTGTGCTTTTGTAAAGAATGCTTTTATTCCAGCTGTCTTTCTTCGTATATATGAATGTAAGGGACGAAATTCTACCGACAATTTAATATTTTCCTTGTCATTGAGTACCCAAAGTGAGAGAGAATTGATTAGTATCTAAACATAGTAAACTTACATATATTTTATAGTGGTGTATCCACTTAAGATTGAAGCCAGTGTATCCCCGCTTTGAGAGCGCAGGAAAAATCAATACAACTTGCAATAGGTCTACATATTAAGGCCCTCCGTGTCGGGAGGATTCCGCCTTTTTCTAGATTAAATCTAGAAAAAGGTGATTTCATGATCATTGGGTAATCAGTGAAAAGTGAAAAGAGAAAATAATAATCAAGAACAGACCACAAATGGCAAATGTTAGCACACATAAAACTTTTACTTTTTCATTTTTGCAAGAATATGTGTTATGTCATATTTCTCCGAGATACAATGTAAAAAGTATAATCTGTAAATATTTTGTATATGTAAATAACTGAAATATTTTGTAAAGAGACCAAATAAAAAAGATTATAGATCAGTATTTATTGAAAAGAGATGTATTTGCAAGAGTAGATAAACAAATATCTTTTTTTTTTCTTTCATACTACTTTGCATTTTATATGGAAAATTTGAGTAGTCTGTACCTATTTAGATAGAGATATACACGTTCATATATGTATTTAGCCAAATTTTGTTTTATTGATAGATGGGATCACTTTACCATGTTTATTGTAGAATTTTTGTATAATATTGCTGGGTTTGCAAATATTGTGTGTTAGGTTTGATTGGTCAGTTATGAGTACGTTTTACTGCGTGTTAAGTGTTGAATTATTTTCATATCTTGTGTAGAAAACATTGAGTGTATTGTTGCAAAGGGATAGCTTTGTCCGCAAATATGATAGCCTTCACTTTTGTTATGGTGTAAAGTAAATGTTTTGAATGCATTTTTTTCTTCATTTAGTATCTGGGAAATGCATTGTGCTACGTAAAATATGTAGATTTATTTATGTAAATCCATTATTCACTTGTTAGGAAAACCATGGAAAAGGAGAGAGTTATGCTCTGTTTAATAAGCCTGATAAATACGAGGCGTCATTTCAGTCGCATTATTACATAGACTAATCAAACCTATTCATGTAAGCGACAGTAATTCAGCGCCATGCCTGCACTTTTCAGTTTGCATTCAAATGTTGTACTGATGTCACTCTGTAGACAACGCATCGAGTCCAAGAATCATCTATCACACCACCACCGGGTTACAGGATAGCGTCAGCAACTAAGGCTTTTCGAATGCCGTGTGAACAGGTGAAAGTGATATTGTTCAACTAAATGTTAATGCAAAATGAACCGTGTAAACATCGCTTTGTTTTCTGGTGTATGCGCTAATTGCCTTACAAGGCTTCATTAGCGCAAATAATTACGGGGAATCAAACAATGACTCCTCGTGAGCAAAGGGTATAACATGTTCCTGCCCGACAAAGCAACATACAGTCCAGACTTGTGTATTTAGCTACAACCAACAAAGGCTAATCTCTGTTTAACGGGTCTAAAGCATTGAATAGCGCCATCTCATTTATCAACGACAAAACAACGAGGAATATGAACGAAATAAAGGACTTCAAGCGGGAGGGGGGGGGGGGGGGGGGAGTAGAATAATGTAATGTTACTGTTTAGTTCCTATGCACTGTTATGTTCATTGTTTACTAATGTTCTGATAACTGTACGTAGCTTATGCACATTTGTGAAAATATATCAAAGTTGATAAAATGCAAAGAAGAAATGGCGTACGCTTTTGTTTTCATTACTTGTTGTCAACGTGTATTCCTTTTGTAGGAAAAATACACGTATACTTTGTTGATTGGTCTAATACCCATCTATTTATAATAGTACCTATATTTCTAATGATTTAGGAATACAGGCGAAAACTCAATAGGTGGAGATTGCATGGACAACGCTTGTAGGTGTATACACAGAAGTTACATGTAAAATTATTTAAGATTATCATCAAACAAATTTAAAAAGAAAGAAAGCAGAGAGAGAGAGAGAGAGAGAGAGAGGGGGGGGGGGGGGTAAGACGGGGGGGGGCAGGGAGTTGTTGAATAAAGAAAGAGAGAGAGAGGTGGGTTGGGTGGAAGACGCATAGTGGAAGTGTCGATCAAAGAAATAAACACCGGAAAAAGTTGTATGAAAACAAATATATATATCTGCACCTCCTTCTCCTGCCACTCCTACTACTTGTACTACTACTACTACTACTACTACTACTTCTCCTAGTTATACGCCCCTACTACCATTACTAAAACTGATACTGCAAAATTAATGGCAACACCAATCCTAATGCAACAATTAATGATTTCCTTTCCCCATCACATACACATAATCATGATTATAGTTACAGAACGGGCCGGGCAGACTATGAGTAATCATAGTCTGTATTACTGCGATGGAAGCATATAAAAAAGGATAAGGACCAATTCAAGGACATTGCTCAAATGATTCCTCGTAACGTTCATGATGTTCCAACAAAAGTGTTGCAATTTTGAACAAGTTATTTGATTCGGTGTCAAATTTACTCATCAGAAAAATTCAATACTCCAGGTTCCAATAAGCTTTCATGGGTTCCAATCTAACTACTTTCTATCAAGAATATGAATACATCAAATGTTTTTATTGTTGAATTAAAGAATTTAATTAAACTTCCATCCGAACCTTGACATATACTACCAAGTGCTACACATTTATTTAATACAAAAACCTAGTCATTATGTGTTCGAATATATTATTCAAAAAATATGAACCTCGTACAAACCATCAGTTATACAACAAAAGGACGTTATTTCAGCATTATAGCTCAAATCAGAACCCATTGAGGCGTATCGGGTCACGAAAGTCCAAAAACTAGTTGGAAAACCCCCATCAGTATTAATTGACGAAAATGAATCTTGAAAAGGCAGAAGCACAGAGAACACCCACTAAGTAAACATATGCGATATGATCAATGGGTATGGTCGATTTAATATTTGGATCAACGCCTTTGAGATTTCCTGTAATGGAAGATTTCCTCTCTACTGATGAAAAACGGTCTGGTCAGTCCACTAGGGGGAAGGAAGGATGGAGGAAGAGGGCGCGCTATATTTCATCCAGCTTTGAGGTCTGCGCTTTCCCTCGGGTCAAGTCATCAAAATTGTATTTCTGATAAATAAACTAGTTTGCCATATATTTGTTGGCTATACATGATTTATTATCTGACAGTTACTGCTAACTAAACTCAAAGAGGGATCTAACAAATTAGTAAGTTTGGATTTCACTGAAAATAGGCCTATGTCAGATTTATCCGATTACCCAAATTTTAAGCTTTCTTGTTAAAGAAATTTTTAACAGTTTAACCATGCCTTTCAAAGTTCAAACAATTATGTTTTGAGAGAATAAATGATATAATCATTTATAAAATGATTATTTGTTACCTCTTTTGTGTCTTGCACGAAGACAATCCCTAGAATTTACAACAATATCTTACACATTATTTATCAAAATAGATCAGTATCCTCACATCCGTTTGCCTTACTTTCTTGCATCCGTCCACTCATCTACTCTTAATCCTTCATAACGTAGAAGTGCTCATGTTCAACTACAAAGCTTCTGCCTTTGAAAGAATCAGAAGTGCACACCTACAGGTACAGGTACAGCCGCTGTCATATCATATCAGTGTGTTAGTGTATTGACAGGGATGGGTCGGATCTCATAGAGCCCTAGCAGAATGGGCGAAGCTCGCGTGTAATCTCCTGTCAATGTTCATTATAGTTTTGACACTCGAATCAATCCCACGCGAATTTGCTTGGTTTCTGCATGTGCATCCGACAGCTATTAAACCGCAACATGATTTCAGACCGTTGATGCAATACAAGGCAAAACCGAGTACACCTGCCCCTCCCAAGAGAGAGAGAGAGAGAGAGAGAGAGAGAGAGAGAGAGAAAGAGAGAGAGAGAAAGAGAGAGAGAGAGAGGAAGAGAGAGATAGAGAAGGGGAGTAAGAGAGAGAGAGAGAGAGAGAGAGGTAAAGAGAGAGTGAGAGAGAGAGAGAGTAAAAAAGAAAGAAAGAAAAAAAAATGCATATAACTTTGTAACCAGGTCGGTGTCTTTCAGATGGGGGGGGGGGGGGCTCTCCAAAAGATAAACAAATTTCTTAGAATATAAAGAAAAGTGTGAAGATCTTGACAGATGCACACTTGGTTAAAAGGCCTGTCAAAATATTTCAGGGAATAAATCGTTCCCTTAGGCCTATGCCTGTATCATAATTTATTTTTGTGTTTTATTTATCCGTTACCAAAACCTGATGAAAATGAGATGATGGATCATAATGTTTCTTTATTCATTAGATGTTACTCGAGGGATTGACGTTCTTCCCAAAGTTTTACAAGATGGTCCATAGGGGAGTAAGGATATTTAAAACCATATGTAAACCATCGAACTGCACTTTAATATTTTCAAGGTTTCATACAGACAGGCACGGGATGATAAGATTTTCGGGTGATGCTATTTATAAGGCCTGTGTACAAAGTTACAGGATGGTTTCCAGAGAAAAGGGAAGTGATGGGCGATCCCAACAACAACAACACTAACACTTAAAGCCTCATGCAAACTCAAATCTCAACAAAAATCTGTTAATATACAGAGGGTGGCATGGGATGCCCTATATTCTCGGATCTATTCGATTTGTAGAAATTGTGTATTGTTTCAAGTGTTATGGAATAGGTAGTATCATATCAATATTATCATTTGCTACAATAGTAAAATTGTATTTAAGTATATTATGTAGCTCGATCATTGTAAGCGCCTTGAGCACCCTCTGGGTGGATATGTCGCGCTATAAAAATGTCTTTATTATTATTATTAATAGTAAACATCTAAAACGTATTTTGCCATGAATTTCACTTCTTTTCCACTATTTGCAATGATGTACCACATTACCTTACTTCTTTCAGCACGATTCTATTATCGAAATTGATAGAATACTTAAGGTAGGTTACATTTAAGTAAAAATGACAGTTTGTAGTCTTTGACCTGATACATACGAGACAAAAATATGTAATACACAAAAAGAAAATGGTAACATGCATATCTACAATCTACTTTTGATTAAAAAAAGTTTGGTCTCCAAACTCGAGAGGGAAATTTAATCATTTTTTTAAAGAATATATTTTCGTAAGGAAAGCCGTCTGTAAAAAAACAACCATTTACCTGTTTTTACAACAAAAACAAAATGATGACATGTTGATTCTTCAGTGACCCAATATCATTTGATGGTCCCAGGGAGGTGCTGAAGTTACATTTTGTTCTATGTATTAACATTATACATTTTGGATGATCAGTTAAATGATATTTTTACACTTAACATAGTAAGAACACAATTGGTCGTTTTGAAGTGATATCATTTTTTTTTTTTAATATGAAATACCTTTTAGATAGAATTGGAGAAAAATCATAAAAATAAAAACGTGCAAAACATGAAATCAATCCCTTAATGCACTTTCATAAAGTTCGCGATCATATCAGCCATTTTGTTTATCCCATGTTTCTTTCATATTCAATAAAGGTCCAGCCCAACAAGATTCTGTACAAATCAAACAGCACACATTTTATCAATCAATTTTATTCCCAATGTCATTGAAATATAGCCTTACACAAAATAGGCAGTGGATCAAAATATGACAAAAAACATACATGCATGAATTCCTGTCATCGTGATTTAATTTACAAATCTGTATTGCTAACATGTTTGACATTTGCCTTAATTTGTTTAAATGTCAATAATTATACGCATCTCTTTTTAGGAAGGAGGCGCGATAGCTCAGTCTGTATTGAGCAGTGGTCTCGTAATCTGGTGACCTGGGTTCGAAACCAATGCGATGCGCTAGTGCCCTTTGGTAAGGCATCAATCCTCATTACCACGCCCCTCGGAGAGGACCTAAAGCCGTCTGCCGTATGGTTGCTTACTAACAAGCATTTATGCTTTCTTAGCAGTCAGGTAAAATAACCACCACCACCACCACCACCACCAGTTAAGATTTAATAGGGAATTTCATTTGAATCATTGAAAGAGTCGTGTTATATCTGACATGTCCAAAATATGCTGATATTAATGAATACATATATAAATACATATTCATATTTATATAGCGCCTTTACAAAAACATGCTTAAAGCACTTTACATTAGTAAATAAAACAGAATAATTATTTTGCTTTCCAAGTGCATACACTGTAAACCTGAGTACAATTCATTCCACCTAAACACTCCCATATCTTTAGAGTAAAAGTACATCTTAATTCAATGATTTAAAAATCTACACAACTCTGTAAAACTTGCATTTATGCAAGTATTGTCATCTAAAAAGAATAGTATCGGTAATACTTGAGTAAATAAAGGCAAAATGATGATTGGGAATAAAGCATATACAGTACTGTCCTTTCTATTTTATGCGGTTTTTGAGGGCTAGTGTGTGCGCGTGCGTGTGACGTCATCTTCGCCTCCTTCAATGGCATCCTCGAAGTTATATAATATAGGAAGTGTGTTTCGGCCTTTCATCTCAAATTGGAGTGACGTCACACCCTCATTAGAAAGAGGCCTCATCCACTGGGACTTCCTCATAAAAGCGAAGTCTAAGGATTTTCAAGCATTTGTTGTTTTTCTGTTTCTAATAATTATAAAGAATGCTACTTTCCTATGCATTAACCTTGCGATCAGTATTTAAAAAATCTGAGAATAACTTTGAACAAAGACGTAATGAAATAAGAATTGATAACACGGATATGCATTTATTGTTTGACTTTATGAAATGAGCTTGTCTTGTATAAAACAAAAATACCATACAAATCTTTTACTTTCCCCTTTTGAGAGAAGTTTTGACATTCAAGGTGTTGAGAATGTATACGTTGTGACAAATTTCTAACATGGTAATACATTTCTCTTGCTTCAAAATATCATTTTTGTTGGATATTTTAAAAGAGATTTTTAAATGAAACAAGTATTTGGAGAAAAAAATATTTCGAAAAACACTTTCCTTTCATTTCAACAAGTAGAGAACTAAGTTTTGATAACCCCTTTTATTTGTTACTGCTGTACACTCGTATTGTAGCTTTATCAAATGTTGAAAATATCTTGTGTGTGTGTGTGTGTGATTTGTGTAATTCATGTAGTTATTTTGAGCAATAAAGATTTTAAAATGAAAGCTGCTTAACTTGTGGGTTGTAGAGAATTAATTCAACTGACAAGTGCTATCAATTTTAAATAATGTGTTAGAACAAGATATCAGCCATATTGTCATGATGTGAAATCGCCGGTCAAAGAGGCGATGGATAAAGCAGACAGTCGACATGACGCTAATGCACAGATGAGTCAATATATTGACCAATTTTCACGAGGACTTGCGTCGCGTCAATCTTTCATCAGGGGGAAGACAAGCTGTCAATACGCTTACCTCTTAGAAGAGTAGTCCCGAATCTTTAAAGATAAAGTTGAGTTCTGGTACCCGTTTCACAAGACTTGTCATCAGTGACAAATGACAGTTTGTGTTATAAGCTACTGAAATCCTTGCTTCTGATTGGTTATCAGCAGATTTGTTACTGATTTTTGACATTTGTCATTGCAAAAAGGCTTTGTGAAACGGGTCCCTGGTCATGCAATTGCATTGTGAAAGAAACGGTGTGGAATCGATCAGAAAAAGTTGACCATGTAGCATATAAGCATGGGTGTGTACAGCAAAGTTCTGGAACCACCAAAATGATAAGAAATTTGAACCAGTCTTGGTATAAAAATAACAAGCACTGAACACAGAAAGATGTTCATGGGACTACACAAACATGTGGCATAAAAATGAGGTCCTCATTTTTGAGCTGTTACACGTCATGTTTAGAATATGAAGGCATTTGAAGAGCCATGCTTTTCAGGGAACAGTTATTCCCTACACTTGCATAATAACAATGAAAAAGCTCACACACTATTTTTCACCTCTCCCCAGAACTCAACCTTCTCTTTAAACCCCCCCCCCTCCCCTCATAGTCTTATCTATATTACCCCCTCTCTGTCTCTAGGTGTCTGTCACTCTGGCCCCCCTTTCCCTTTGCCCCTCATTAATGCATGTTTAGCCACCCTCGCCCTCTCTGATCCGATCTTCCTCATAAGGTGCACCATTATACACACTTCGTTAAGTTCCCCCACCTCCCTCTCCCCTTTTTCTTTCGGCCTCTCTTTCTCACTTGCTCTATTTATCACCAATTATCCCTCTCTTCCTCAAAGAAAGCAAATGCATTAAGAAGCTTAAAAAACTTCCTTGAATATGTAATTAGGCCTATAACATGTTCTTATCGTGGAAAAAAGACATGAAAATATAAAAACTTAGCAAGCTATCACAAAGACAATTCCTACTTCACAACTTTTCTTGATAATATTATTGATAGACTGCATAAAGGACATATTTTGGCATTAGGAAAAGTTCGCAAAATCTATACCATGACTTTTTAAGTTGGAAATTTGTCATCTGATATTGAATGTTGAAGTCTTGGCACCGTGACATAATTCCCGTACAGATGCTGAAGCATCTATTATGAACTTCCTAATGTATATTTACATCATCTTCTGTTTTATTATTCGCTATTTTTTCTTTTTTTTCTTTCTGGGATGTAAATGTAGAATACTGCATTTTTGCCCAACCCACTAATATTTCTCAAAGCTTCTCGTTACTTTGATATTAGTTGCAATACATGAAAACTGGACATGCGTATTCCAATATTAGGTTTTAACATTTCATTTGTCTCACTGTTGTGAGGAATTGGAATATCCCAGGAGATCACAGTTTCAAACGTTTGTAAAATGATAAAAATGTGTGTTTGTAAAGTATTTGCGCTAGCTAACAATATTTGTAATGTGTAATGTTATGAGTATCCATGCACATGTTATAATCGTAAATGCATAATATATATAGATAGAGAGAGAGAGAGAGATAGAGAGATAGAGAGGGGAGAGAGAGAGAGAGAGAGAGAGAAAGAGAAGGAAAAGAGAGAGAGAGAGAGAGAGAGAGAGAGAGTGACATGCGCTTAGAAGTATTTTGAAGACATGTATCTGATTGAAGCAATACTTCTGACTTCGTGCCAGCATAAAGACATTCTTGTTATGTTGACTATGTTGTAAATGTGACTCGTCTCAGGCGCACCAATAAACACGGTTCCTGATCAAGATTTTAAATGCCCTTTAGCAAGTCTTTCCTTTAGTTTAATCGAAATTCAAATTAGCTGTAACAATTCTGGGAAAGGAGCATCCTCTGCACTCTTCGAGGTACAACCCTCTGCCAATCTTGCACCAGAAATAGTTGTCAAGAAAGAGTGGGGGTCAGTTTCAGGGAGTCACGTGACATCCCTTGCCCCGAACCAAACTGCGCCTTGTCTACGTCGACTCACGCAGGGTTTGGAAGATTCTCTTGATTTTTAATACGGACGACAGTCACGCTGCTTACCATCTGCATGAGATCTATTTATAGTTTTCATCATAATTTGTCTATACGTCGATTAGATGACATGAGAACTTACGAATATTGTTTTGCACTGAAGTACGATACCATTACTGGCAATACCCTCTGTTAATTCGTGGAAGAGAGAAGGGCAACGGAATATTGTTCTTTGGTGCTTTTCCACGGATTCACGCAAAGGCCTGCCGTAGCAGACGACACGAGAGTGTGTGGATTCAACGATGAATACGTGATGTTATACTAATGACAGCAAACATGTGGGGCCTTCGTGTGACGCTATTTCTACTTCTTCAGGTAAGTACATGCTGCCGTTTTGTCTCAAATAACAGGTGATTGATATATAACTGAATATAATTAGTTTTGTTTCGGTTGATAGAATCTAATACAATACAATTTGTGTGAAATATTCGGTTTTATATGTGTAACTATTAGGAACACATCTAGCAATGTCTAATAATTAACTCTAGTCAGTTTACAGAGTTACGAGAATGAACGTTACGGTCGTGATTGTTTGCAAAGTACGACGTATTATATCTGAAGATAGGCATTATGTTCCCTTAAATAAGAAATCTGTTTTGGCTCTGTCATTACGTGATCAGACGCCATTGATATTGACATCAGAGATACTGTTAATGCATAGACACGTGTGAAAGATTTTGTAGTCGTGAGACATTATTTCTAATCAAAAGGCACCGAACGTCTATGTCATGGTGAGGAGTGATTTAATGTAGGATAATCGTCCCCATCGTCATCACTCCTATAACTATCATTACGGGAAAAAGGTTATTGAACTTTGATTTTTATAAAAAGTTATGAACTTGTTCTTCATTCATTGATATCCATCCACATAAAATATAGGCTATGGCTCTCATTGTCATCCTCGTCTTAATTGGTGAAGTGTAAGTTTATAATTCAATTAAAATGTTATCGTGAACACTATAAAACTTTTGTACAAATTAAGAACACTTTTGTTGTACTTATTATGGAGCCAGACAAATTATATCCACGTACATGGTTGGTGTTCAAAGTTTAGATGGCGCTTTTTATTTTTGTGAAGTAATTTACGCCACATTCCACTACAAAAGTTCGACTCCTTGTTCATGTGTACTTTTTAATCCATTGTAAAGAAGAATAAATACAATCCAATAACGTCAATTTGAATGTAATTTACATACACTCAATTTCAAATGACTATACATTACTGCAGGCATTAACTGTCAGAATCATTTGGCACTGAGACTGAGACAAAATGACCAATCAGGATCTTACACATACACAATGGTTTACTTAAGATACGCACCCTTTCCCTACTTTCAATCAATCTGAATTAAACATCCTTCCCCCTGCGTAATTATCAAGGGCCGAATCAAGAAACCTAATTAGATCAATAAATTTCACAACGTTAACTGTGCGAGTTATAAAGTGGTGTGTTAAAACTTATCATGCATCCAATCCTGCACTTGGAAGCATTCATTGAAAACTTTTTAGTTTTCCCCTCTTCATGTTACGTAACACAATTAGCACTTGAATGGATAATGTAGAATATGACCATGTACAAAGCAACTAAAGAAGCATTCAAAAGTAAGAAACTCTCAATAAGATGTACTGTCAATTATGAATAAGGAAGTGTATAAAAACCTGGCTTTAGAAAAACTACCGATTTTGATGCCCACAGAGAATTTCAGGCAATTTCTCCTTACTATACATCCATTTATGCCCAGGTTGGAGGTTGATTGCATAATTTTCCCCATAATTCTCTGTTTTCTGCCATCCTAGGCAATGCATTAAGAAATAATTCCTTACCAAAGGACACCAGTCATGCAGTCCAGGAGGGTGTTTCACAAAACTAGTCATCAGTGACAAATGACAGTTTTTGTTATAAGCTACTGAAATCCTTGCTTCTGATTGGTTATCAGCAAATTTGGCACTGATTTTTGTCATTTGTCATTGAAAAATGGCTTTGTAAAACGGGTCCCAGGGCCTGAACACACGACCTACGCCATGACATTTGCATCTTCAGTCGACGACCACACCTCTCCGAACATTCATTGCCCCCCCCCCCCCCCCCCCCACGCACACCCTGTTAACGTCCTGGTGCTAACATACTTGTTTCACTTTCATTGCGCCTCCGTTTATTAACATTATCATGTTTTCTCAACCCATGTGTACGCTTTAAACATGAATCTAGCCTGAGGCCTGCCAAAGTTATCAAGGTTGCGCAGCATCACGTATCATCTTCGTAGAGATTAAGATTTGTACCTGTACCCCTGTGCATTCGTGTAGAAGCAAAGTAAAAGGGCTTCATTCTTTGATCCAAAATCTATATTCCAATTGGCTCTTCCGGTTACAGTGGTCATTGACGTATGGGCACAACTTTGCCAGGGGTGGGGGCGGGAGCGCTCCTTTCTCTTATCAACGCCACTCCCTCCCTCCAAATAATGTCCTGAGGGATAGCGAATTTCGAGCGAATATTTAACACATATCCACCCCTGACATCTCACCTGTCAAGATACAAAGAGGCCGTGTCACCTTAACACTAATTAATATTTCCATAGGAAGACTTTAAAGGACGGACCAAAGTCATTTGGATGGTAATATTGAACCACCTGTTTAATGTGAATGACCTCTTTCCAAAAAATTAAGACGGTGCGCGTGATTCCCTGTCCAAAACACCAATATGTATTAAGGGAACAATCCACCGCAAAGGGACATGTGATTTTGCCTCTTGCCCTAGGTTGGGAATTCCAAAATGTCAACTTCATTCACGAGATAAGCATGTCATAAAGATGACGATGCCTGGTCCTGACATGACTGACTATAATTTAATACACGACAGATTTGTTTAATGTAGGCCAATTTAAGATGCATGTCCATGCAATACAGTACAATGAACTATATTTTGATAACTGTTAATTTTGAATATTCTTTATAACTCTTTATAATAATATTATAGCCGTTTGATCGAGATTGATTGCCCTTCAATAAGTAGTAAAGTCCCTTTATTTTATATAACATTGCTCAGGGCGCCCCTTTCATTTTACGCTAAAGTGATGTTTCCTTTTTGCCTTATCCTCGATACGCTATATTGGCAAGCTTAAATACCATGGGTACAAAGAGAGGGAGACATACAAACACAATAAGACATACATGGACAGACAGCAAGGCGGGGAAATGGGAAGAGACAGGATGGATAAAGAGAGAGAAAGAGAGAGAGAGAGAGAGCGAGAGAGAGATGAATGGGATAGATAGGCAAAAAGAAAGATAGATAGATAGATAGATGAAGACGAAGAGATATATATATATATATATATATATATATATATATATATAAAGAGAGAGGGAGAGAGGGAGGGAGAGAGAAGGGGTGGAGGGGGATGAACAAGTTTTTGTTGGTTTTTATAATAATAATCTGCAAAATATAGAAAAGATGGAAATATGATTTATATTTTTCTGCAATTCTTTGTGGTAGTAGCCCTCAATATTATAATAAAACAATATAAAAACGAACTAATACGCTTGTTTTGTTTTTTTATAGAAATAAGAGATAAATGTAGTCTTGATGAAAATATCATGAATTAAATGGATGGAAGATTTGTTTTAGGAGCTTAATATATACTCTCGTCTTCGAAACCTTTCTTTTAGCTGTTTGGAGATGTTAAACTGATTTTTAATATCCGATTTTATGTTGTTTACTTTAATATTCGAATGATGCACCCTATTTCTCTCAAAGATGCCAGGAAATGCACCTCACGCCAGACACACCAAGTACATGACTAACTCTCTTCTCTGAAATTAAATGAGAATTTGTTACTATCAACTGTTATTAGCAGATGGCACCAATTAGTGAGGAGATCGAGTAATGAGGAGATCGAGCCAACATGAATTCAAATTCTAGACGATAATTATCGATGTTTATTTTTCCTCTGTTTTCCCCATCGCAACCACATTATTACACAGACGCGGTTCTAGAAAAAAAAAAACTTTTCAGGGGTGCGGGGTATTTTATTTTCTACCTGTGCCTTGCTTCAGTTCATTCATAATGAGAAAAAAAAGGTTTGGGCGCCTTAATATTTGTGTTGGGGGGGGGGGTGGGAGCTTGATCCCCAAAACCACTGGAGACGCAAATGTACATACGTACATACACTCAAATGGCTATGATTAAACAAGTTTGGTAACATGCTTCACAGTAGGACAATAAGACTCATAACATGATCTAACATAGAACGACACTTACCCTTACATTTGTCGTTTGTTCATAAAATCGACAGCTACAAAATTAAATTAAAGACTTCACTTAATATTGAAAATGGGGAAATTAAGCAAGTTCAACGTTAAGAAAACGCAGACAGACCTTAATATAAGATGAATCAGATGATTAGAGTGGTTGATCGATGTCTTTCAGTTCCCAGTGTTTACATTACCCAATTCTTAGCTTTAGACACATTTATTGCACGGAAATTCTGGGAATTACTAAGGGAAATGAAGACGGAGAAGTAAAGTGACAGGCTGCCTGCTAAAGTCACATGTTCTTAAGAGGTGTCCTCCTTTTGCTTCTGTCCGTCTTTAACCTTAGCTCTAACAGAAAACATAACATCAACTTTCACCAGCAAACCCCCGCATCTGTTGTATCATGAACGTTTGTCTTTTACATCATATCTGTAAAACATGAAAGGACAATGATATACAAGGGTATGAGATTCTTGGAAGAGAATGTGAGTAAGAAAGCGAGACAGTGAAGATTTGAAAAAAGTACAGAAATGGGGAGAATTTTGTGAATAAAATCGGTTTCAGACGACGAAATGTGGTCAATATCTTGAATAAATCGAATCTGGTTATCGAGACAGAAAAATGTAAAAGGGAGACATGTTCATAGATACAGATGAGTCAAAGCTAGCTGACTATGCACATTTTCTTTCCAACGAATCAGATGTTTTGCATTTCATGTAATGTATCTGTCTGTTGTCTGGCTTGCATATTAGTGGCGTAACCATGCAAACCATCACTTATAGAAGGAAAGTAGGCCATAGTTTACTTGATCATTTCTTTGAGATAATGAAACATAGACAGCTCTAGGTGATCAGTTCATTTGCATATATCATGATGTTTTGCTAATCTATGGTTTGATAAGAATAACGACGGAAATAATTCTCTTCTCTTTGACTTGTTGTCAAACTTTTTTCTCTCCACCAAACAAAGGAAGCTAGCTGACTGATGAAAGGATATTTAGTATGCAATGAATATGCCTAATAATTATTATTAACGGGCTATAAGCAAACCACGTGTATATTGCTTTT